TACCATATCCGCTTTGACTGGTAACATTGCTGCACATATACAAATACTAGATACTAAGTCCCCATTGATATTGTAAACATAAAAAAATCTTTAAATTTAAAGATGCTGATTGCATAAAAGAACACTTGAGTGTGGCATACGTTGTTAATAGAGAGATAATTCAAATAAATTGATTTTAGATATTCACTCGTAAAATAGTTAAAAGATACTGGACCATATATTAATAAACAAAACTCTAAAACGTTTGGTTAATTGTGTTAAACAGATATCTTGAACTATTTATTCGAAGTCGATAAATATTAATTGATTGCAAATTAACGATAAATGCATTATCACAGCTATATAAAGATTTATAGAGGAAAATACCGAATTGCATGAGACAAACGACTAGTTACATCAGATGGTTACAGTGAAATATTGTAGTTTGCACAATTCGCATTGCCAGAAGCTAATAAGGGTAAATCGCATTGCTAATACAGATTACAAGTTTGGAAAAATAAGTGTCTTTTAATTGGTACTTTATAGCTCCTGCGTACAAAGTTAGATACAACTCAAAAAGAAACAAAACAATACAAATCATAAAAAAACAAGATTAACAGGTTATGTCGTTAAAATATTAGGAGGTAGTCTGTAATCAAAGTTGTACTAACTTTTGGCATCAATGAGTCGTTCGCGCGGGCTCAGATCCGACGACGAGAGTTGCTCTTTAACTTTAGCCACGTCTTTGGGATGTAAGATATCGAATAAACTCTGTCCAAGTAACTCCGACTGAAATATTAACATTTAGGTCAGTTTATGTAATATTAATATAAGGATTCCTTTTATAAATACCAAGTCATGAAAATTACATGGCCTCAACGTAAAGCAACTAATTGTACAAGATGTCGTGCCACCAACAAGTCACCGGTCCAAGATCGTATGAATCCCTTGGAACTAAAAGTTAACTCTTGTCTTTGCTTAATGAATTCCTGTAAATGAACATAGTATAGAAGTTTAGTTGGAACAACGATAAAGATTAACTGACCTGTTCATAGTGCAGCTTTCTGCTAACAGATGTGGATACATAGAGCAAACGTCCACGATCACAGCCGACAACGAGAAGGAATGCATTGTGTGCTGCGTGTAACACCATCGTGTTGAGCTCACGCTCCGACAGAAAGGCGGGGCGGGGGCGAGCTGTGAGGGGGCCGGCTGAGAGCGCCCCTCGCACCGTACGCAAATACTGCACTGCCATACGCAGCACTGTCAGCTTGTCCAGCTTGCGCGACATCGCACCGCACATCGGAATCATTGCGCTCAACTCTGTTATGTAAGTGTTCATCTTGTCGCGACGACGCTTCTCAATTTCGCTGTGGTTTTGTCTGCAGAGAATGAATTTATGCAGGTCTCTCGTAATAGACTGATCTGGTCACTGAATGAGGGCAGGAAGGCACCGATTATTGAGATAAATTTCGGCGAGGCACTGCTCGGCTCGCTGTCGTGCACTGACGATCAAGGGTTGTTGAATTTGCGATCGACTTAGACACAAATTAGCGATAATTAGCTAACTACTAAAAATGTGTAATAACACTGCAACTGTATTCATAATGCGGTGATTAAAGGAAAATCTTTATCTCCTTCGTAAACTAGAAAATTGACTAGGAACTAACATGTGTATGCTTAATATTCAAATCAACTCTTGGAATCGTACATGTCTACACCTTAATTCGAAAGCTTAGTTACTTTTAAAAGTGTTGAAACTCGTTAACCTCGCGCATCGAATTGCGACATCGTTACAACTCTACGTTAGAAAATATCAAAGGACATAAAACATTTAAGTATTGCAGAAACGTCTCTATAAAAAATATACTACTTTATGGCATAGAGGTTGTTGAGAAGGTTAGATGAAGTAGCTAAGAGGAAGCCACTAACAGGAACTCATACTTAGAAATGTACAGTCGAGGACGTTTACTTATCGCTTCTAGTGAAATGACAAATTATGCCCTATGCAATTAGGTCGAGATCTTGCCATGGCAACATACATATTAAATTATAGCTCTAATGTAGTTTGTATAATATTGGATCATAAGTTGGAGGTGAATTTTATTCTTTGACTGTAGTAAACTGTATCATAACGAACTTGCAATCCAAGAATGTGGTGCGTGTACTTACTTTTTATCAGGGCATGTTCTTGTGGAGCGCGCGTCGTCTGTGCCATCGTCATCGTAGGCGCTTGCCACGCTACTGTTGACAATTACAAATATTAAATTAACAAAGGGAATTACCTTCTACCTATATGGAGTTACCAGTCAATCTTGTAAATATAATAACATGTTATTTATACATATTAGATTTAAATTTCCAAACGAACATACTTAGAGAAACGTTGGCAATAAGTCGCATTTTCCTGTTGGCCATGAAAAATGTTTTCGTCGTCTTATGTTTGCGGAAGTCCCTTGCACGAGCCGAAATATCGTACAATTTTGATTAGTAACCACAAGGTTAAATTAAGGAAAGTTGCCCTCGGGACGATTGTGTTACAAGTTTGTAATTTCAAGTCATATTCACTGACTTACGAAACATTAATAACCAAATCATATACCGAACAATTTGTCGCAATGGGAAATCAGTTTGATTTTGGAGGGAACAAATTTTACTATCGATTTCAAATATCTACAAAACTAATTGAAGTTTTTACTCAAATACAAACATCAAAAGTGTGTAAAGAACAAGTGCGGTTTAGAATGGCTCCGCAATTGAAGGTTAAATAAGTTGATTCTTTTTAGTGATTTTCACTATTTGATAAAAAAAAAATCCGTGCATTTTTATTTAATGTTAATAATCGAATGTTATCCAGTACTTATTTGAAATAGTTTGTCGTTGTTTTTTAAAAAGAAACAATAAAATATCTGCACCGAAACTGAAAAAAAATATTTTTTACCCGTTAACAATCCGCAAGCAAATTCAATGACGTAATTTTTTTTTCTTCAATAAAGTTGTACAATTTGTCAATAGAAGACGATTTATCTCGATATTAATATCAGAGGACCATTGCGAACATTGTAAGGAAAATTACAGGCAACGAGTAGGGGACGATATTTCACTAGATGCAATTCAAAGGGTACGTTCTAGTCAAAGGTAAGGAGAGGCAGGTGCGATTTTGCGGAGGGTACGCAACACCGTTACCACCGGCAACCTACGAATGGTTAGGGTTGTCAAAAGCTAATTTAGTTTCAATTAGTCAGTAAGCATCTATCATTTTACGACAGCAATGCAATTGATCTATGATAGTTTGTGTTTTTAACACTGAAGAAATAATGCATATTATTACACCGAGACTTTAATTGAATTCTTTGCTTCTTTTAAACATTTTTTCCAATTTCTTATTTCGACAGCCCTAAAAGCCTTAGGAGAATCTTTGGATTCCAATTAATTGCCTTAATTGTTCGGTTACAGCTTTAGTTTCGCTTATTCCAATGAGATTTAACTAACTAGTACTTGTGTTTTAAAAGTTTATTGAAAGTATAATTGTACTAGCTGTTTCCCGCGGCTACGACCGCGAAGAAGTTCGTAATATCTAAATATATTTTTACAGAGTAGATACGAGGTCTAGAAACATTGGAAAAAGGTTTGCTATAAAGTAATAAGCACTTAGCTGAGTAAAGGCCTAATCCATTCAGCAAAGCAAATATAGTAAAAAAAAATTCATTACTTTTATATTTACTAATGTGTGTATGTATATATTTTTTGTGGTTCTTTGCTTGTAACATCTGTCCCTTAATCAGATTTGTTTTCAATTGTGTAATTAAATATGTAATGTTTGCCTTATGAATGAATTGAATGATTATTATTATTATTTAAAAATCAGTTTTGTGCAGTTTAAAGTTTGTGTGGAGAAATGGTATACCTACAGCAGAAATACTTGATATTTGACAATAACACATCTCTGAATAAATAATTAACAACGTTTTTAGGACCTTTTTTTAACAAGGATGTTAGTTATGAACGTGGAGGGGTACATCGGTAGAGGTAGACCTAGAAAGAGATGGATGGATTGCGTGAAAGGTGACATGATCAAGAAGGGAGTGATGACTGAGATGACGGATGATAGAATGCTTTGGAGGACGAAAACCCGGTGCGCCGACCCTACGGGAGTAGGATAAGGCAGGGGAGATGATGTTTTTAGGACCTTTTTAATTTTCTTACGTATCGGTCAAAGAAACTCCTTGACCAGATAAAATTTACCTTGAAAAACTTATACTTCGATAAAAGTTGATTTACATAAGTAAAAAGTATTAAAGTTGCAATATTTTTTTCTGGGAATGTTTTAGTTAAATTAATTATAAGTTAACTTTTATTAAAACTCGAATTTCGTAAGTGTTTTTTTTATAAACTTTTTGTTCCCATTAAGAGTCATAATGGAGCAAGAGCATATGTCAGACGTAAGGTTTTTTATATAAGTTTAAATTTAGGGGTGGATGACAGGATAGCAACAGATATGAATGTCGTAATTTCTCAAATTATCCTGAACAAAATAAAGACTAAAGCTGTTGATGAAACAATTATAAAAAAAATTGATAATACTTACTAAGACGAAGGTTTTCTTTTCCTTGTTCCGTTGTCGAGTACCGTGACCGCCGGCGGCGCAGGCGTGGCCAGCGTGGTCTCGCAATTGGCCATATCGTAGCTCTCCGAGCTAACAAACCATATAAGTAACGTTAACAACACTTCCATCGCTTGATTAGATCATCTTAAAGTAATTAGCGAACAAAATTAAGCAACGGAACATTAACTTACGTAAACAATAAAAAAACTTTTAAACTTCCATTCAATTTTTCGATACGATATTTATGTAACTAATTGTACATTGTAAGTCTGCCATTTCGTTCGGAATTTTATTTATAGATGATCGAAACCAATTTTCTGACGTCAGATGATATACAGAGTGTTTTATTTCTACAAATAACTTGTATGAAAAAAAATCGTCAAGTCAGTTATTGACACATCTTCATTCTACCAAATAATTTTGCAACTAAAATACCCATGTGAAGTTTTACGCAATTTACCTTACTAGACGAAACTAATCAAAGAATGATAGGCATCCATATAGATCATTTGCAGCTTTTAACAATGGGCTAAAAAAAAAGAAACATATTCTACTCGTATTTATGCTACTGTTAGTAAAAGCAAAATTAATTCACCTCGAGACCACATTATCTTGAAAGCGAAAACTTGGTGAGCTAATCTTGTAATGTAAAAAGGAAGTTTAAGTTAACTTTGTATTATAGGTAAGCCTAAACACAAACTTTTCCATGAATTAGAACTAATTCTTAAACGGCTTTCAATCACGTTTATTCCGGTGAACAGCACCGACACCGACCGGCACCGACAGTTTCGGACCTCTCCGGGGTCCATCTTCAGGGTGAGTGTTATTGGGTGACAATGGTATTTCCGCAACGTTGTTAACAAACAATAAACAGCGTCAACTCGATAATGTGGCCACAACATACGTAAAAACAACTTTAAAAGGCGGTTGTATTAAGCGGCATGCAGAGGTCTTTCTAACGAAATAAAAAAAAACGTATTTAAAAAACATCCATTTTAATAAATACGGTGTCCAGAAACTAACTACACAGAAGACCAGGCATTAATTCAACTTGATATTGATTTAAAATGTCACAACCCAACATATTTAAGTCACACAGATAAAAAGTATAAAATATTTGGAACACTTTTCCAACAGCGCCGACTAAGCAACTTTGGGTAAAAATAAGTTGGATTTCTCAATATGTCTTTTTAGAACAGCCGTCTTTTATTTCATTCGTCGTTTCTGTACACGCAGTATTCATTGGATTTAATTTAAAATTCCAAAAGTAAAATTACAAATAAATGCAGAATACAAAATAGAATAAAAGGCACGTATATTAAATAGCAAACAGAATAGTGTTAGCTCACTAGTTATTGTTCTTCCTCTTGCGTAGATCATTCTGGTGGGTTGTGAGCTGGGAGCTGGTGTTAAAAGGAGTGTGCAGACCCAGTTGGTCACCATCCTCACAACCGATGACCGATGTCAGCTCGTACGCCGGGGCCGCGCCCGTGTTCGCCCCACAAAATAATATTTAAAATCAATCTCAATACACACACTTATTAAATATTGATTTTCAATTAATCAACCAATATACTAGAGCTTACTTAAACACGCTAAATTTCTAGAAACAAAACTTTTTCAATCGCTAAAACAATTATTAGTGTTAAACCCTTATCGTATTTTAGTCGAAAACATTCGTTTTCCCTAAGTAACAACACTTGTAACAGCAGTAAAAAGTGCAATGGTAACTATTGCTGTCCTAACAATGAACAAACAACAGCAATCTGTGGTGGATGTACAATCATTTTATTTTAACAGCAGATTTAAAACTAACGACGAAAATTTATAATCGAACTCGAATCGTTACGACAAAACGGTCAAGAACAAATCTACTAGTCTTGTGGACGTCGATCGTTTGGATGATGGGATCCAGGAGTATTAGGCGATCGGATGCTCGCTAAATACAACTGATTTAAAGATAAGAATAGCCAACAAAAATATAATCAATCGTAGAAAATCCTATTTGATTTTGGCCGTGTTATAAACATCAAACATCTATCTAAATTTTACAGAAACATCCCGTCCTATAGTCGAATGGTACGAATTATTATTCATACCATCTAAAAATCTCACAGCAAAATATTTATGAACAATACTTCATGTATTACCATATTTGTTAAACTAAGGAGTTTGATTTCAGAATCTAGAAATGTTACACTAAAACAACGTAGATTTAAAATTTTATGCATTTTTTGTACACGCCTTTTTGCGCAGTACTTGTACTTGTATTGTGATCATATACAAAATGATTATATACAAAAATACCTTTTCCTTAACATGAAGACAGTAAATGATAAACACAACCGCACGTTCAAACATGCTACGAACAGTCACACAATGTACATGCTACTAAATAATTGTGAATCTTGTCAATTCATAATTTAACTATACACATCACACATCTTTGATTTCAGAAAACAACCTGTATAACAAATCATGCGCTAAAAACCGATTATATCAATAAACATTATTACGATCAATATTAACAAACATTTTATAACATTGCAACATTATCTCTAAGGAGAGACACAACAAAATACTTTCTGTTTCTGATTAATAATAGGTACAGTAATTTCGAAAGTTTAAGCATTTACGAAGATCACAATCGGTCGGTGACATAAACAAGTGTGCTGTCAGTGCATTATGAATAGGTAAACGGTTTTGCGCGCGCAATGCAACTATTCACCTATAGGCTAGTGGCCCTGACATTGCTCGCTTTGACACACTTACCGATAACGACTAGAACCGCACTAGAGCACCTAGCTTCGATTGTTTTGCTTCTATGATTCACGCGAGTGCACTAAGACTAAATGAATCAATATGTACAACAGGTATTGTAAGATAATACGTTGTTTATTACGATAACACAGTCTGAGACGCTTGTTGATTACTGTGCAAATTATAACGTAGAAAAGTATGGATGGAGTGCGTGAATTGTGATGAGTCGGTACAGATATGTAGAAGAGATATTTTGAATTTTGAGACGTAGTTAAACGTAATAATTTTCCTCTAATAGACTGCTCATATATTTTACAAACACACATTAGTATTTCTTTGCATTTATATGCATCTTGTAGCCTTGGCATTACTCTAACCTCGATCGATTGTTGGTAATTGACACTGCAATTGTGTGTTTAGATGCTTGTTGCTATTTTTATTGGAAGTTTTACTTACAAAAATTCATATACCAATAGGCTTACGTACAGGCTTGCTTTGTATCGATTACAGAATTGTAAATTTAAATTCAGTTTAATAGTATTTTAATGTTGTAATACTAGTAGGTACACTAAACACTTTTTAGTGTACTAATACACAGTCGTTGGAAGCGCAAAGTTGGAAGACCGCATTCTGTGGAAGGCAATGGGGTAATATGGTCAGCAGTGGGCAGACAAATACTGATGATATTAATGATAAAACACTTTTTAGCTGTAAAATACGTGGATGTCTAACAGCTCTCAGAGTCCCTTAGTCGTCCCTTTGGGTGGATATGTTGTGAGAAATAAACACAAAGAATAGAGTGTGTTGATTTTAATTTACAAAACACTGAAGTTAATTTATAAGAAAATGCAATGTCAACAAAACAATCAACAAGCAATGTTTGAATGAAAACAAAGTGCATTCATTTTGCGAACTATTATGCTCTAGCGAAGCAATTACGATAGGTTATGTAAGTGCGCGATAACGCGGTGACAGCATCGCCCCCTCGCCCCCCCCCCTCCCCCGCCGGCCCGCAAGCCGCTCTGCGCTCGCGCAGGCACACGGTGTCAAGTGCGAGGTGAGACGAGCGTAACTACGGGCTTGCGCGACCAACTCGACTTCACAATATCGGTTTATTACAAGCACCAGTGACCTAGTTCATAACAATAACAAAAGTTATCAATCATATCTAAGCCAATTGAAGTAAACATTAGAACTTGCATCAACTTTAGCGTCCTCAGAAAATAAATTAACACTTGGTAATTCATGCAAATTGCTTTCTAATTGCCTCTACATGTTACACTTATAAGCTTGGAACAATCCTGTACCAATTCACCTAACTTTCATGATTTTCTTATAGACAAATTTAAAGGTTATATTTTTTTGTTTGATTTATGCTACGTGCGAATAACAAGTATGGGACCGTGGTAGTGGCTACGTGTTGCAGTATAGTGCAAATGCGGAAGCAACACGTCCTTGCCCCCTTGTTTTGCACAGCCTCTATCCCCTCCATCGTCTAAGTTAAATGCTGATTATACTTTAGTGGTTATTGCAGCACACTGCAAACATGGCCAGTTTGGAGCACTAATATAAGGGTAGAGTTCGATTTAACATCTCCTCACGAACAAGCCAGATCGCCCGGTGCAATCCCACAACTACATGGAAGACCGCCGTGAAGTGGAAGAAATTTCGCGTTTCGTCTGATGAGTGTGCATCCAAGAGGCCTAGTTTTAGCCCCTTTTTCTTTCCCATCCATTTCGCATGAGGAAAAGGGGAAACTAGTAAAAGGATGTGGCGGAGCATGGGACGCCTACATAGAGAAAATATGCTCTTTCTGTGCGTCCCCTCCTGAGTTGATTTGAGAGTGATGGCTTCGCTATATTTGCGAATTCCGCTGGCTGCTTGTTCATTTGTCACCTTATACTATAAAAACATAACAAAGAAAAAACATCAACAAAAAATAACAAATCTATTCAGGTTAACCTATTCACATTCGATCCATATTTATTACCCGGGAAATAAACACAATGTCCGAATATCTAACAACACGAAAGATGAATAGTTTATCAATTTACGTTCTATGCTACGACGATTTTGTGAGGCATGTTCAGACTTCTGTACGGTTTTCAATCACAGCCTGTGTAATTGAATTTAAAAAATCTGAAATAATTACTTTAGAAAAATTTACAGTTAGTTCGACATTGCATTAGATAAATAAAATAAATTATGAACCTATTAATAGTTATTTTATACAAAAACAGGTAAGCTTATAAAGATAATTACTTAACGTTACAACGTTGAGACTTCTACATGATTACATTACAATTAATGTTGTCATAATAGATGAAGAATTGCATTATTTATATCTATCAATACTTACATATAATAAAATTGGAGTGTATATTTGTAATATAAAATATAGATTTCGGGAAGATGATGTATTTGCGTTAACGAAGTTTGCGGGCGACAACTCGTTCAAATAAGTATATTTATTTTATACTACACTAGTCCATAATGAATGCAATCAACGGATAGTTTTTCTTGCATGATATTAATTGACATAAATTGAGATGCTATTGTTTAACCATCATTGACATTGAGTTTAATCATTTACTGCTTGTGGTTTGAAGTGCGAGGTGAGAAGGGTTTATGCGGCTTCAATATATCTTAATAACAAGATTTGTGTGATACTTAACATAGCTTAAGGAATTTAAAAATATGAAAAAACGACCTGTTGCCTGTAACTTCGTCCACGTGGTATTAGAAAACATACGAACTATATAAATAACAAAAAGCTAGGTATCCCTGGGGAACCGGACATTTCTCGGGGATGTTATCACATGTGTACTCCAGACTTTGTTTTATATATGTGCCAAATTTCAATAAGATATGTAGAACCGTTGCACAATGATAGAGTAAACATTAAAAAACTAAATTAATGTATCCCAGGGGAACCGTAACTATTCCTGGGAGAAAAAGTAGCCTATGTGTTCTTCCAGACTATTTTCTAAACCTGTGCCAAATTTCATGGAGATTCGTTTTGCCGTGTAGGTTACAAAACAAATGCTAACAAATCCATCCATCCATCGTAACTTTCGCATTAATAATATTTATATTATTAAGGCCGCTACACACTTTATTACAAGTTCTACTGATAATTATAATTTTGCGTACACACGCAGATATTAAACAGTTTGACTGTTCAGTTACTATCAATTGTAGACAGACATACTTTACCAGTGGTAGTGCCCGCTTTAACATCTTAGCACGAATGGGCCGGCACGCCCGGTGTAATACCACGACCACACAGAAGACAGGCGTGAAATAGAAGCAATTCCGTGTTTCGTCTGATGAGTGTGGTGCCGGAGGCCTAATTTAAGTCCCTTTCTCTTTACCACCCTTTTCTTATAAGGAGAGGTTGTGAAGGGGAAGTGGATTTGACGGTGGAGGAGATGCATAGAAAGTGGAAATATCCTCTTTATGTGCGTCTCCTCCTCCGTCGGATAAGGGTAGGCAACGCATCTGCAATTGCGGATGTCTATGGGCAGCGGTCGCTTCGTCATTTTGGCGATTTCTGGTGGCAGCTTGCTCGTTTGTCACCTTATGTTATAAAAAAAAAATACTGATCGTCTGTAGTGGGCTTAATGATTTTGTACAAGTCTTTCGATAGTGGAAACTCAATAATTAAAATAGCACAGGATATTTGCCATAAGACGAAGTATGAACTGAATTTTATAATGGATGAAATATTACATCTACGAAT